TTAAACAAACTTCAGAAAAATGCCGACAATGTTTGTACATGGTCGATAAACACACAACTGTTGTCGGCGTACGATTTTAATACAAATTCTTGAGCAATTTAATTTTGGGCTTTTCGTAGAAATGCTGTGAAATGAAAAATAAAACTTATTAAGACTTTATATTTTCAGAACTAATTGAAAACTTAATGAAGCACTTTTTCGTTTTTGTTTCAAGTTTCTAACTATTGCCATTTATCAGTTTTCCAGAAAACTCGGTTTTTCATTATGTCACATTACAACCCCTGCATAAATTTCAGCCGATCGAGCTAAAAATTTTACCAGAGGTACTCATGGTAGGTATACTTTTGAAAGTTTACTTTAGACATTTTTTTACCGAGTTATAGGAAAATACCGAAAAACTTAATTTTCTAGAAAACTGATGAACGGCAATAGTTAGAAACTTAAAACAAAAACAAAAATGTGCTTCATTGAGTTTCCAGTTAGTTCTGAAAATATGAAGTCTCAATGCGTTTTACTTTTTATTTCACAGTATTTCTACGGAAAGCCCAAAATGAGGGGGGGAGTACCCTTAATGAACAGGATATTAAAAGGTCATATTTGTCGATTGAGGTGAGACAGTTCCACTTCAATTCGTTTCAACGAGAATTGGTTCTCAGTTTTTCTCAAAAGAACGGGAACTGCAAAATTGTAATGATTAACTTATTATTCGAAAGAGTGAAATGTCTTTAAAAATTTGCAAATAATAAAAAGAATCCCCAAATTTAACTTTCAAATACATCGTATATCTTACACTTTTTAATCGTAATACTAAACGATTTTTTCCCTAATTACTGTCATCCTTAAATTGTGTTATTATTGTGATAAGTTCCCCATGTGCATATGAAGTCAGTCTGACTTAAAAAGTTTAAGACTTTTGCGGTTGATTTGATATGATATTAATTAGAGTGTTTGATTATTAGAATTAAAATATATTGTTAATTTTCATATTTCGATCTGTTGTTTCAGCTATATGCACCAAGCACAATTTTCTTGAAAATATTAAAATTTTGTTATTTTTATAACTCATCTTATGTTTAGTCTGCGTTTTCTTCAGCGGATAAAAAGCTAACGATCATAACCTACTCTTTGCAATGGCACAAGAGTTGTTCTCATGCTTCTGGAAAGACCTGAGCGAATGATGTCCATCCAAAAAATCATTCTCTATCAAACTTCGAGATGCAATGTCTTCTAATCTGTTCTATATTTCTAATCTGTTATAATCTATATCTCATACATTGATATTGAATGCAAAGCTGTAGACCGTCGTTGAACTACATCGAACTCAGAACAATAAAACTAAAGAAAAAATTTAGTGTTCATTTATGTTAAAACTTGAATCGATCGGACTCGAAATACAAAAACTCAAGTCCGAATCGGAGTCCTTTAAAAAAATCTCCAGTCCGAGTCCGCCAAAAAATCTTCCAGTCCGGACTCGGACTCGCCCATGCCTGATGTCTTCTGTTGCTGTAATTGCTTATCTTTTTCGTGGTGGTAATCATTCCCAAAGGTTTTATTGGGAACAAAAGGATTTGTAATTCATATCTATTCCGCCGTAGAACAGATACTGCACATGAGCATTTTAGGAATAACTTTTGATAGTAGCAGTTAGACAGCTCCAGCTTTCGCCATTTGAAAGAAAAACTTCAAGCACATTGCCATATGCAAAGCGTTTTTCAGACGAGTTTTATAAAACAGCTTTACAAGGAGATCTTCATAAAACCCGGATATGTCTCAAAAACCTCCAATGGGATTATACTAATGTTTTCCCACAAACTGGTAGCTCAGAGTGTCCTCTTCAAAACTGGAGTCCAGCGAGATCTTGATTTCCAGTGCTTGGAGCATGGGATCGAATTTTCTTGAAGTCCTACGGCTGATACATAGTGACTATTGGTAACTTCGAGATTTGATTTAATTTGATTTTTATTTGACAACAAAAAAAGACAACAAACAAGATAATAATAGAATGTTGCAAGGATAAAGAGAAAGAAAAAAACAGATGTAATTTTATATTATCCAGAAATCCTTTAGCTTTTGCTTAAATGACCTAATTGATTTTGTAGTCACAACTTTATCAGGTAGCCCATTCCGCTCTATTGCCGTACGATGAAAGAAACAGTACATTATCGTGTACGTTCGTATATCGTCATTAACATGTACAGCTTGAGAATCTTTCAACCTGTCAGACCGCCTGTTTGTGTTTAATTGAATTAGATTCATGTGTGACAAAACGAAATGATTATTCAAAATTTTGTAGAAATGAAGTAAATGGAACTATTTTCTTCTTTTATATAAATCAGCTAAATCAAGTTTCTACAACAGCAAAGATTCACAAACATCAAACCTTTTAAGTATAATTCTGGTGGCTAATTTAATTACAGGATCAATACGCGAATTATGGGGAGGAAATTTAGTATCGTAAACAATTGAGCAGCAGTCTAGTTTACTCAAAATGCAAGCCTTGAATATTGATGGACCATTTTCCTCAATTTGTAAATTCTATAACTCGGTCACATCAAGTCCGAGGAGGCGAAAATTTTGTTCATAAACCTAGTTTTGATTGTAGAATCGAATGAGATCATGAAAAGTATATGTCAAATTTGATCTGTTATGGCGTTCTTCAACGGATTCAAAAATCTCTCTTAATAACTCAAGAGGAATAAAGATAGAGCTTTGCGGTTTTCACCATTCGCTAACCAAGACCTGACGCTATATTTTCATAAGCAAAAACCAATTTGAAAAACATTTTAAAGACCGCCCTCAGCACTCCTCTGCCGTTAGATTTGGGACTGTCAGAAATAAATGAAAACATTGATTATCGACTATGCTGAATCTCGTGGCAATATTAGTTTTCGGAACGAAATGCAACAACCAAATGAAAATCTATACCAGGTGAAATAACTTATGTTTGATTATTTTCATCAAAAATTAAATAATTCATAACTTAGCTGAAATCTATCCAACCTACTTCACAATATCAGAAAACACTATTTTATCCACTCATTCTGATTCCGTATGAAAGATCGGTAAGAAATATTCTTAGTTCCGATGGTTTTTTGGAAAACCTTTCTAGAAACCAAAACATTTTCTGTTGGTTTTTTCAACATTTCTCGAGCTTTATGGCATGTTGCAGATAATATAGAGTATATCTCGACATTCTGAAGTAAGTTGGATGAATTTTAGCTAAGTTGAATTATTTAAGTTTTGATGAAAATATTCAAAAATGAGTTATTTCACCTAGTATAAGTTTTCACTTTGTTGTTGCGTTTTGTTCCAAAAACTAACAGTGCCACGCGATTCAGCATGGTCGATAATCTATGTTTTCACTCATTTCATTCAAACGTTCATAGCTTCCAAACCATGGAATTTTAAGATGTCGCTTAGATACAGTTTTGTAGAAAACATTTCGGACTATAAAAAAAATGTCTAGATTTCTATTCCAGCTTCCAGCGAACTGAACTACTTTTTCACAGGTCTCCTAAAAAATCGGTCTCTGAAATGTTTTCAAATCCGTTTTTGCTTATGAAAACATAGCTTTAGCTCTTGGCTAGCGAAATGGTGAAAACTGCAAATTTCTATCTTTTATTCCTTTTGAGTTATAAAAAAAATAATCACCAGACTTGTATTTTGGAAATGACAGTAGTTCAAAATTCCAGGATGTACATATTCTATTTATAATAAATTCGCAAGTAAGACTTTAAAGAACACATAGTTTTTAGAAGCCTATGGAGGAAACCATGGTTTCTTAATGTTTTCGCTCTGATAATCACGTACAACAGACAAAGTTGACCATATTCTGAAAATCTTGAATTCGTTCTGAACGGAACCTGGTAGAATTTCTCTAAGATCCTAATAAGAAATGTACAGATTTCTTATTAGGATTCGTTGATCATAGAAAAACAATTGACTTTTGACTGTGTTTCTGCTTATCGATATTTAAACAATTGTGAATTTGACTAGTTGAGAGAACAAAGTTATATAAGTAAAAAATGCAATTTAAGAAGATATTTTCTTCGTGTTCCCAATAACTATGTTTTACAACCCCGTTTTCGTTACAGAAAACCTTAATCCTAGCAAATGAACTTATAAATTGCAGCACCCATTCAACTAGCAAAATATCCAGAATAAATATCATAATGCCACATATTGTGGAAAATTGATTTAGTTGAAATTCACTATTTTCCAAAATAATGGCAAGTACAGTGGAAAATACTCAGTAATGCTGGTTAGAAATAAGCTCGAGTTTTGCACAATATTTGTTTTATCCACTAGAAATTGTCATTATGTTTTACAGGCTAGCAGTGTCTAAGTAAAAATCTATTCAGACAATAAGTTATAAAGTATTCATCAGGAGTAGCGTTACAACATCTCTAGTGGAACTGTAAAAAAACGTTTATGAGTAACGTGTACAGTCGAAATGAGTATGTGCAGCATATATGAATCTAACATCATCATGATTGATCACTTACATACAAAATCTTTGATTTAATTTTCCCAAGATCTCTCGACGAACTGTTAGTAAAATCCATCATATTTCAGACGAAAATAATTTTATTTTTTCAAAATAAAAATTAATCCATAGAAAATTTAATAATACATAAATTAGTGAAGAAAAATTTTCAAGATTTTTGTCAAAAAAAGAGAAAATTCCAGTGATTATTCGAAAAACATGGAGTAAATTCTCATAATAGACTTATCGTTGATAACCTAAGACAACTATTTAGTGCTTAAAAATAAGGTAATCAGTCATAAGCTGAAGTCTATATTATAAGTTAATCGTGTGTATTTAATCCATTAATTAGATATATGTACAACACTTAAGACAATTTGAACAAATGTACAAACTTAATAATTATTTACTACCATCACTCAAACTGATTTCTGATGGCAACGTATGACACTTATTAAAATGAAAAAATTCAAAATAATTATATATTGATTGATTACTGGATTTTCTGTGATTTCTAACATCGAATCCACGGACTTGTCGTTCTCCAACAACCGAATGTATTCAATCGCTTTTGCCAAACAATTTTTTTTTGTTGTGCACATAATATACCTTTGTATTCGAGCATTGATCCAGACTGATCTTCGATTGACATTCGAATATGAATTCCATCAACAACAGCCGATACATGAGCACCGCTACTTGTAATACCGACTAATTGACCCGGTTCCAAATTGAAAAATGTCATTTTTTGACCATATTTTGTGTCTATCCAACAGCCCAAATAAGCGTCAATTTCAACTGAACAATCACTGTCCTAGAAGATATAATATACAAGATTAAAAAGACGATTCATTGCTCTTCGTAATGCAAATTTTCACGCTATAACTAAGTTTTATTATTACATGCAAACATATAATTTATACAATGACTTGAAATACTTCAACATTTTGCAGACTGTTATCTAATTGTAAATAATTATCCGAAGCAAAAATGAATTTTAATTAATCATCTATCCACAATCAAAGAATGGCAGAACAAATCACTATTTTGCATCCACTACAAATTTATAGAGTAGTGCTGGAAAAAAAGTTCATATCATTGGAGTTACAAAAATATAATAGTTTTAAATTGCTGAAAAGTGCTTTTTCGTATCCGGCACACTCGATAACCATGAAGATTTTCTATTTTAACGAAGAGTACTTCTAAAAGTTTCGAAAAAATTTGAAATAAAATGGCGCAAAGAAAACGGCATATTTATAGTTTTACTCAACGTTGCAAAAGTGTCTCTTGCTAAAAATAGAAAAGCATCTGGACTATCGAGTGTGCTGAATACGAAAAGCACTCTTCAGCAACTCAAAACTAACTTTATGTTTTTCTGGTCCGGTGATATGATCGCAAGAATTCCAATGATTTTGAAGTTAGTTTAATATAAGTCATATTCATTCATTGTCTCTCTAGCATAAAAATATCATGAAATCATATTTATGAGTAAGATAAACATGCATCTCGTTCCACATAAACAAAAATAGAGAACCTTGAAAAGTGTCAATATCATTGTTAGTATATTAAAAGATGATGATTTGATTAATGTATTTTGTATTAGATTTAAATTTCGAATAAAAACTAGTTGAATCAAATTAGTGTTAAGTATTTAGTTTACATATGTTTTAACATACTTATTTCGTAGATAGTAAGTAATACTTACATGACTTTTATCTTTTGTTGGTATGTCAAATGTATGTTCACTGTGTTTACTGTGCATGACTTATGAATATAGTAGCTTGAATTAAATAAAAGTAGAGAAATAATGATGTTCTGCTTGCGATTAACGAAGTGAAACGTGTGCTCGATTCATATGAACATGGCATACTATTATATACGAACCATACAGACAGAGAGAGAGAGAGATGTTTAACAAAAAAAGAATTGATTGAACGATACTAATCAACTGACGTATATATACATATGTTAGTTGTCGTCGTCGTCGTCCAACATCACACACGTAGTTCAACATTCCATTAAGAGAGAAGAAAACAATAGAAACATAATCTTGTCATACCGTAACAATTCGCTGTTTTAGAAGATAAGAAATATATATTATGTAATAAGCATCATACAAGCGACAAATTGTTTAAATAACTTTTATCTTTTGTTAATATATCAGAGATTTCTGTTCACAATTACATACTAAATGTATCGGAATTACTCGATGAGAAGGCGTCCTCGACAGAGTCATGAAAAATTCATACGATCGATATATTAACAATAAAATCACAGTGGTTGCCTTTTAGAATTCTAAATTAGAAGATGTTTCATTAAAACATTTTGGGAAGCTTTTGCTAAATGGGATCATAATATCGTAAAGATTAATCTAAAAGTTCATCGTATCTCGAAAAAGCAAATTGATTATTTCTGAATGGATAAAAATGGATATTATCCTTCAAAATCTTGGACTCTTTTTAAAATTATCTTACTAAGATGGTGTGTACAAGTCAACTTCAAAAAATTGACTATAAAATATGAAAGGCGACTATTTTTTTGACTACAGAACGGGATAGACGTACGTTTATAGAGGAAGACTTTCTCACCATGTTTTCTGATAGAGTTAGAATCATTTTGGACGTTATATCACAAATGTGACTTTTTCAAAGGCTTCCAGGAAAATGATCATAACTCTATCAGAAAACATGGTGAAGAGTAGGTATGCACCGGTATCGGTATACCGAATACCGAAAATACTGAACTTCGGTATATACCGATACCGAAAATACCGACTTTTTTTGCCTTGGAATTTTTTGGATTTTTTCATTTGAAATGAGGTATTTTAGCACCCTGGACAAGCAGAACGTATAAACAACACTCAGCTGTGTATTTGAGCATGTTCAGATAGAAAGAAAAGAAAAACGTTGGCTTTAGAAAGCAAACAAAGCTCTTGTTTTCCGTCTCTGATCCATTCTGGGTGTCCAGGACGCTAAAACATCTCATTTCAAATGAAAAAATACAAAAAATTCTAAGTGAAAAAAGTCGGTATTTTCGGTATCGGTATGTACCGAAGTTCGGTATTTTCGGTATGAATACCGATACCGGTGCATACCTAGTGAAGAGCTAGGAGACATCTCATTTTGTAGAGAAATCTTTACGTTACAAGATTGACTGTTTCAAAAGTTTATCAAGTACTGAATGCAAGAGGAAAAAGTTTCGAAAATAAAAAAATAGAGTTTTTTCAGCGTAAACTTTAGTCCATTATCCCCTCCAGGTCACTGGAGTGACCATTTGTAGATCGAAGGTAAAAGATTAAAAAAACATGGATGTCTTGTAGTGAATTCTATAAGCTATCGATTCGTAAAAAAGTATTTTCTTTCGTTGGTTTCTCTCCGAAAAGATGAATTACAAAATCGATGATTTTTGAAAAACCACGAAAGTTGGATTTTTTCGGAAAATATTTTTCTATCAACAGACAAGATCAATAGATTTGGAAAATTGTTTCCAACTAAGATTTGAGAAACTAAAAGTCGTCACTAGATTCCCAATAATAGAGTTTTCTAGAAAATCCAAATCCTAGCTTTTCAGCACCTAGAATCTGCGAATAAAATTTTGTAGAATTTTGTAGAATGATAGAGTAAACAATTCTCTACAGAATGAGATGTCCCCGAGCTCTCCACGATGTTTTTTGGTCGAACTATATAAAATTCACGAAAAGCCCAAAATAGGACTCTTTCAAGTCATTCCTCCTCAAAGGTCACTGCAGTTACCAAACTACTCTGCACAAACGGGAGTGCACCTGACCGATCTGTCCATACTATTACTATATTGGACACACCAATACTCTATTCCAGCAGTTATTTCATCAGTGGCTCTTCTGGAACCACTGTCGGGGGTAAAGGGTTAAAAAGTTCGTATCTTCTCAACAGAAGGCCTGCGAGAGCTGGGAGTGGTGGTATTTTTTGTAGATGACACTTTACTCTAAAATGCACAATAGTTAACTCAAAAATAAAAAATATTTCTAAAAATGTCTAAAAAAGAGGCGTCACCTTTAATTTGACGGTGAAATTTTTTACAGACGGTTCAATATTAGGATTCGATAATATATACACCACTGAATGCAGGAAGTCTTTCAGTACAAACCCTACGTATATCCCGTTCTGTGGTGAAACCTTATAGTCGCCTTTCTTTTCGTTGTTTAGGTCTGTTCGAATACAATTCTTAACAATGTAAGATAGAAGATTTGAACGAAAATTCGGCTCTGTGAAAGAATTTTATCAGCACTTGAACAATAAAATTAAAAAATTCTTAGTCAGTCATGCATCACTCTTATTTAAAATCTTGAAAATTCATAGTAAGATGTTAAAGAAATGTAATAAAATCAAGGAATTTCTTGGATCTCATGATCTTAATAAGATTCAGATAAGTTTCTCATCGGAGACGTAATTATTACCATTATTATATATATGTAGGCATGCACCAGTTTTTAACTGGTGTTGGGGTATCCGGGAGAATTGCTACAAATCAGTTATTACGATTCTCTCAGAGCTGTAAAACATCTAATTTTGTAGAAAAATGTTTGTCTACAAAATGGATTTGTTAAAAGAATTCCAGAATCATTTCTAAGAAAACTCGGAGTATTCAAAAATACATTAAATCACGGAAAAAAAACTGTTCGAACAGGTTTTTTTTCGTAATTTAGTACATTTTAGAATGCTCTAAGTTTTCTTAGAAATGATTCTGGAATTCTTTTAACAAATCCATTTTGTAGACAAACATTTTTCTACAAAATTAGATGTTTTACAGCTCTGAGAGAATCGTGATAACTGATTTGTAGCAATTCTCCCGGATGCCCCAACATCAGTTAAAAACTGGTGCATGCCTATATATATGTAAAACAGGAATTCTTGTGGAAAATTAGAATCGAAATAAATTCATAAATTGATTTTTAAGTTTAACTAGGTAAATTTAAGATTCGACTGAACAGACCTAAAATTATCTAGAAAATCGTGTATTTGCCGTTACATGTTATACGTATTTCTCTAATTGTTAAGCAAATTATTGATAAAGCATGAATTGTTTCAAACTGGTCACCTTTGACATGTTGATTTGACATTTAATAAACAATTTAAGTACGTCTTTAACGAAAAATAGCCTGTTTTAAATCATGAATATTCTTGGCAAATTCTAGAGCTGATGAACCAGTTGAAATAATTATTCTCTCTTCTTGCATCATATTCATATAATCAATAGATGTTTGTTGATTTTCTTCACATAATCATTAATAAATCTCGATAATCGATAATTCTATTGCTTCATTTATTTGTTCATTTGATGCATTCACTTGCTCATCAAACCATATTAATCTTATATTTTCCTCGTTTTTAACATCTTCTGATCTTCATGTTCCATGCTTGAAACAATCGATGTTTTAGCAACATTAACTCGAGATTTTCTGTTAATAATGAAATTTGTTTTGAAGCGGCTTAAGTAAACAATTTAGACAAATATATTTTCTTTATGATGAAAGATTATTTCAGAATAGTAAAATCCTCCGAAATCCACGCATGACTTGTTTTATGACGCATATGAAATATAAGGCAGAAAGAAGTATTCCGTATTTACTCTAACCTTGTTAGAAAAAACAATCTGAGTTTCACTTACAACAGATTTATTCAAATAAACCAACAAAAACGATAATTCCATCTGGATATTTGATCTTTCTCTCAAATTCTGATAACCCTTCTAGTCGCTGAGCGTATTTACACAGCATAAAGCTTCGCATAATTCATTCTACCTGTTCTTTAGTTAGTCTTCCAATAAATTTATTTTCTTTATAGTCGATGCGACAAATGAAAAAAGCAAAGAAAATTCTAAATTAGAAAGCTTTGGTCTCGACTAAATGAAGTGCAATAAGTTGATAAATAAAGAAGTGCTAATTAGCAAAAGTTGGAAATGATTTTTCACAATTATCCCGCAATTCATACAGTTAACTACTCGCCATTAACCTGAGAAATGAGGGAACCTTTGTTTCACATTTATTTTGGCTTCACGAGCACTCAGTGCCAAAAATACAAAGACTGAAGAAAAAATCGTAATGTTTGTCAATAATAAGGGTGTGAAACCACCGTGATAGACCATAGCATGGCGTACGGAACACTGACATGACCGATGTGGGTGTCCGTACCGCTTATAGTGACAGTAGTACTGGGTTCAAGCTGCGTACACGGAGCACCGGCAAGGCCGACGAGGGCATCCGTGTCCCTGTATTAGTTCGTGATTTCATAATTGCCTGTGGCATGAGTTCACTTAGTGCCAGTTCATGTGAGCAAGAATGTGCAGAGAGCCCCTTGTTGATATGATGTGACGTGTTACTAATGGTAAGATTTGCTGCGTATTCTTGTTGTTTGGGTTATCGATGTGTTGTAATGTAATGCATAGTAGAATTAATGGTAGCAAAATAAATAGCTGACAAAAGTAAGGTGGAGGGGCAGTGGCGGATAGAAATAAGATCAAGTTCTAAACAAGTGAAAAGAGAGTGATAAAATTTTTCTTAACAATGACATATTCGTATCTAGGACAGCAATCTGTCAAAACATTGTAGTGGAGCGCCTAAATCTAATATTGCAAGAAGAACAAAGAAAGAACTTGTCTCGTAACCGCATGAATTAACGTTAATACTTAAGCTTCAACTAATATATAATTTTGAGTCGAATCTTCTACAGCTTCTTCTTTGAATACTGGCGTACGAAGAGAACGAAGATGTCTGCTGCATTTCTTTTTACAGTTTTATTTATTCGGAATTTATCGTGAAACTTTTTCGGTACTATTTAAAAAAAGGTGCTAGCAAATTTTATGTTCTGCCTAATTGGAGAGCTGGGAGTGGTCTTGTTTTGTAGAGGACACTTTAGTCTATAATGCACAATATTTAGCTCAAAAATAAAAAATATTTTAAAAAAGTCTAAAAAAGAGGTATTATCTTTAATTTTCTCTGACGGTGCACATTAGGATTCGACAATATATACACCGCTGGATAGGGGAAGTCTTCATCATGTACAAATTTTTTTTAGTGAGAGCTAGTAAATTTTATGATCTATCTAATTTTAGTCACACTTGATTTGGCGGAAAAATTTCGAGAAGTGACTTGGCTTGATTTGGGAGAAAAAATTCTCCAACCTTGACTTGACTTGTGGCTGGCAAAACTCCTGATTTGACCAGCTCTGGTAAGGTAATGAATGCTGAATATCAACATCACAAAGTAATGTTTGCTGTTATGTGAGTACATGTTTCAGTTAGATGGGAGACTAGTCAACTAACAGCTTGATAAAACAAGAACTATTACACAACAATGTACACAATGCTTGTCTCGCTCTGCGCCTTCGGCGCTTGCTTCGACCCGCATTCCCTAACTGGCCGAACTTTCTTCTGACCGAAGCAGTTTTTTCTTAAGGATCTTAAGGATTTTTGTTACACATCTCACTGACATCATGATTCCCTTGTTCACGTAATTACTAACCGGAAATTCTACTTTGTCCTGAACCACACATTTCTGTCTTGATCGGTGGCCTGCGACTTCTTTTACTACTCACTGTTCCTCTCATTTCGAAGATCAATAACCAGATTAGATCAGCAATATCAAAACTAATTTCCTCTCAGATTTCGAAAGAAAAAAGCCGTATCTACTAATCCAAACTACTTTTTACAGAAGTGCTTGTCTCGCTGCACGTTTTCGTGCTTCGACTGCACAGGCCCTCGTCCACCAGCATTTCGTCTCGAACCTTGATTCTTTCTCACCGGACATTATTCCTTTAAATACCCCAATAGAATTTACCAGTTTCCCTACACTTATCCTCGTTTTCCCTTCGTTTCTCAAAAGTTTCGCCTGAGCACACAACACACACAATGTGCTCACTACTCTGTTAGAACGCAGATAAGTGTGTCTGTCTGCCCGCTAATAATGTATATGTCGCTAGTATCTAGGCTGCAAATACACATACACACATTTTAACTCAAGAAGACCATTTCCTTCACACTCAAGGGAATAAGACCCTTTCCTGTACACCCAAAAGAATGTCATTTTCATCCAGTCAAGTTGAAATTAACTTTTGACTAACAGAATCAACCATAAAGGTCGCCCAAAGCCATTTTCGGATTTCCCATAGTCGAATACTTATTCCATATCATTTTTATCCAACGAAGTTGAGATGGAGTTTTCAGCCAATAGAATCGATCCTAGAGGACTGAACTCTTACGTCACTTTAGTATTTTGCCATAAGAAAAATTTCGTTTTGCACTTAGAGTAAGACATTTTCGATTATTTTCGATTTTGATTGAACATTATCGATTATTTGAAATCGAAAATAATCAAAAACGTCTTACTCTAAGTGCAAAACGAAATTTTTCTTATGGCAAAATACCAGAGCGACGTAAGAGTTCAGATTACTTATGTACAGTGTAAAATGAAGTTAACATGTGAAATAAAAGAAATAACGTGAATCGCATCGATTCACCAAGTTCATTGCCTGTAAGTCGAATGAATTTACTGTCAGAATCATTATTCATTGTGTTGTAACTCGACCTTGTTGCTACAAAATTGATGCATATTTTTCACGATGACAACGTCCATATTTTCCACCTTAGGTTACAGAAGCAGTTGCTATAGCTTTTCACCGGTCAGAAAAGTTTCTAAGAGGGAGTACGTGTTTCAAAGCCAAGTATGGAATAGAAGTCTATCACGTCAGCATGAGTTCACGAGTTATGTGACTTTCAAAAGTTTGAAAGCGTCAGAGCGTTATTTAATCAATTTGTGTAGATCATCGAGTCTCTGTAATTTGATTTGATTTTATCTATAATACAGACTTTCGAAACGGACGTAATATTACCAAATCTCTGAGTTTCCTTACCCTTGGTAACGATAACTGAAAAGTCAGTTACCGTTGTTTTAACGATAATTGTGTTTCCAGTTAGCGTTAAATCAACGCAACGGGAACTATTACAGTCCAAGTCCATTCGTCAAGAAAAAGATGGTTGATTATTCACTCACAGAACACGAGAGCTCCGTGACGTAAGCCGTAGATTTCTATACCAAAGGACAACGAAGAATTCAACACCATTTATTCTGGTTGCAACCCTGTCCGGATAGATTCTTTTAGTCGAAAACACAAGAGTCACCGAAATCTTTGAGCATCTCAACTATGACTGCGAGAAGAAGGAGAAACCATTGAGTTAAAATAAACGTTTGCTGGCTCGTTAAAACATGCAAAACAACAGCTTCTCTTTTAAAGAGTATTGTTACATCACTTGCATCGAAAAAAGAATACACTTTATGAGCCTCGTTTCTTTGGCAAACAACAAATTATCCATCTTTTGGCAGTCTAATGATGTTTTTCTTCTTTTAAGTGACTACGTCACAATGTTTGTCGCAGCACTCATGGGTTACTTTTTCTGTTATATGGCAGTCATTGTAGTTATTTAAACGGGTGCCCGGTTTATACAGTAGTGTGCAAAATTATAGGATCACATCACACTTAAGCATTGTTTGATTCCGTGTGTCATCATCATTGAAGCTTTCCCCAGCAGCAAATGATGCGCGGAGCTAGTAAATCTCTCATTTTCTAGCAAAAAGTGTCCAAAAAGTGTATCAACTGTAACGGCATTACCGTTACGGCAATTAGTGACAACGTTGAATAAAAGAAAAATTCGACTAATACTTCAGCATTGATGTCAATGCCAATAACGATGTTAGTTCAAATGCATGTCTACAAATCTTTGCTCAAAAGTTTCAGTATTCGCCCACTCTTCAATACCATGGAGTATTGAACGGCCTTTGGAGAGAGAGAGGTGCGTTGTAGACCAACTAGGGGTATCCAGAGAGTGCAGAACACTTTACATTATAACCAGATGTTCACAGTAATACCATAGCAGCCACACAGTCGCATGGAACTGAAGGGGTAAGAATATTAACACAAACAAAAACCGTACATAAAAGCAATTTTACTCGCTGTATTTATCGAAGTAAGCTTAACTGAAATCAGAAACTCAATCGTGCCAACAATAGTTATATCAGCAAGAAACATATAAGTATTTATTAGCTTGACTTGTAGCATAAGCGTTACTCGAAGTTACTTAAACGCAATAACGCATGCGTTACTGCGTTACCTGTAAAGAAACGGTAAAGCGCCACCCCTACCCACAACTAACGGCGATGTATACACTCTAACAGTGGTGTGGACATGAATTCAAGGAGTGTTTGTGTGAATGATTTACTTCTCTAAAAATGCACGGTTTACACAGCAAGGGTACATTCTCACACAAACATCGTTTGCCAATTCTTGTACATATAAATGAGCATGTATTTGTTGATTTCTTTAGTGCCTGAATCTGTGTTTCCGCAACAAGGCAATGTGAATGACAACACACTGTACGGAGTTTTTTCATCTTGATGGCTGACTCTTCTTTTCTTACGGATATCTTGCAAACACGGTACCCAGATTGGAGGAGCCATTGTTGGGAGGTGTTGTCTTCAGGTAGCAGTTACGCGCGCTGATAACGTACGTGTAGCTTCTGCAAGCGGCGGTGGAAAGACACAGCGCACAACAAGATGTCCAATTAGTGCTAGTCGAGACGCTGAGATTGCAGCACCCTATGTCAGCGTTGAGCCACGTAGTCATGTTTCCGCACAAGTAAGGATCTATATAGAAAATCGGTTTACACACTGTCCTTCACTTTTACTCGTGATCATCGATGATGTATAGCACAAAATCAAGAGTAAGGATGCCTAGTGGACTCACTTGCTGTTGTAGTCGTCGTTGTGATCGTCGAAGTAGTGTCTGTAGTCGTGGTGGTTGAAGTGGATGTTGAGGTCGTGGTTGTGGTCGTTGAAGTAGTGTCTGTAGTCGTGGTGGTTGAAGTGGATGTTGTAGTCGTGGTTGGCGTCGTTGAAGTGGCTGACAAAAAATGAATAGATGGACAAGTATTAAATGAAGGATTCTGTTTACAACAAGCCTCTATCAATATGATCCGCTTATTTCAAAATAGGATAGGCAATTATTATAGTTCATAAACTGTTTCTTATATTACATCGCCAATCAATATTCGTAGCAGGCATTACTTTTCAGGGCTGGAGCTGACTCCATATGACTCAAAGCAATGCTTCTTCGATCGTTGCTCAAGGCATATCTGATGTTATTCATCGTAGGATGTGTGAACAGAAGTAGAAAGCTGGTTATGGCCCAGTGCTTCAATACCAATACCCAAGAGTATGGGTTTGGATGCCTGTAGCAATTAAACCACACAGATTTTAATGCCTTGTCATCTCGGAGTTGTGCTGTGTTTGTAGAACTCGATCGGCCACAAGTGAACAGAGAGTCAAAGGTATAAAACCTCACATAGAAGCCAGAACTTGAGTGTGTCTAGCATCAAAATCTATTGACAGTGCTGAAAAAACAGCGAAATACGTGAATGAACACAGAAACTAAACATAGAAAACTGATTGGTTTCGAGAGATTAATTAGAGAATCTGGCGGTAATCCGAGTGTCCCGAAATGCGAAACTATATTGGGAATGTGGAAGGGTGGGATTTCGGTTTTCGGCTGGTGTCAAACTCCCTTTTTCTGCTTTAGATACTCGATTAAGGGGTAAAAAGTACGTTGCGGAATGGGTACAAAATTTTCAGAATGTCATTCCGGAATGGCACAAAGTCGCCTTAGAATGATGGACTGGCATTGTTGACCAGGAGAAAGTTTTTTGTTTTGGTTCTAAATATGAGCAAAAATTTTGAGTGTGTAACGAAATAAAGGTAAGAGAAGGTCCAGAATTTATTTTATTTATTTGCTAGTATTCCGTATGTCAAACAAAAAAGATATGATCTGTCGTTAGAAAAAGCAATGAAGCCTAAAGAATTATTTTCCTTGTTCAGGTAAAAGTCTGTCAGAAGATAGTTAATTGCTTGTATTGACTGCCCATGTTGATGAAATCGGGGTATTTTTAACAATTAATCAGATTTTGAAAAAATTGCAAATTAATTGCGATTAATCATCACAATCGATTTGGATTCCGATGATTTTTTCTTTTTTAAAAATCATCAATTAATTGTGATTAATTCTGGTTTTAAGCGATCAAATGGTTATTCTTTCTCACCATTTTATTTTACCGTAAAGTATGTATATAACGATTTCAACGAGAAATTCAATTCTATTTAAATTGTCTTTTTATTTTAGAGTAAAACGGAGTTGTTAGGAGCCTTCTTTATGGTCCTTAGAGCGTTAAGTCGGGAAGCCCAGTGAACAGCTGGTATCTGAGAAATGTCTAAAATCGACTCGTCGACAAGGCTCCGCCTTGAGCTGGTGCTAAGACCGTTGCTGAGTGACTCACATGTCATTACACCGAATAAACAATGAAAAAACAGAAAAGATATGTATTTCCTAAGATGGGTTTGAACCTAGTACCTAGAAACAAAGGCGTCAATTAGTCGTGATTAATCGCTAAAATCATCAAAAAATCAGTCATTAATCGAGATTAAGCACACGATTAGTGCAGATTTTATGCGACTTTTAGTACATCGGTGGTAACACACACTATACTGTGCACATATTGAATATACATGCAGAAAGAAGAAAAAACGTAACTTACAATGTATTAAAATGAAAGATTTGCTTTCGCTTGTAGTTTCTCTTACAACTATTATTGTCACCTAAAAATTCGACTAAAAGCTTGTCTACTAAAAAACGGAATGGTATTCTAGAATGGCAGAATGGCATGCTAGAATAAAGGTATTCCGGAATGGGTACACTCGCCCTGTGGTGCTTTTCCCCCCTTGTACTTGTCTCTTATCTTCATGTCACATTTTCGAGAATTTTAATAACGATTTTCATAATCAGTGTGACCGACTTGATTTGTTTAGACGTATTGCAAAAATGGATTTTGAAAAAAAATTTCAGAAATCCCGGTGGAGGGTATAAGGTCGAAACTGTCAAGTCGTCTCGAGGAAAATAAAAGGACTATTGCCCATATCTAACTTATTTCGCAAACTTTGTCCGCAAATGGTTATTTCCCACGATTCTCGTGAGACGAAAAATAGCATTAACGCCTCTTGTCTTTGTTTATCGAGAGTAGGCAAAATACGATTAATGAAGTCTCTTTTACGCTTCAACACTCGAAAAAAGCGTTGAGTGATAAACTCTTAGAGTTTTAGCGATCAGCCATGAACCCTCGAATGGTTTATGATAGCGACTAAAATGAATTGAACATCACAAGCTCTTTTTGAGTATATTGGCTGACAAGTATGATCAAAAAGCCCCTCTGAAACGTTTGAACGCGTGAACAAAATAGAAGACGTGAATTTTGTAACACGGGAAGTTTCATATATCCTCACTCAATAGCAAATACAGAATTAGCTGATAGCGCGAATCCGCTAGGTCGTATTCGATTCGATTCTATTCGACCCAGGTTCGCAAAAGATCAACAGAGATATACGCAAGCTATTCAACAACTCTACGATAAAAAGCCAATATATTGAGGTCCTCTTGCAAGTCCTAGGTGGTACAACAAACGCAGAACGGCACCGGATAGAGCGTGTAGAGATCGACTTGGACCAAGAGTAAGAGCTTTGGGCCAAGTTATGAGACGTATCCAACAGGAAATTACTCGAATCTTTATCTAACTTTACCTACGTGCGTTATTAATTATCTAATGAACAAAAAGAGTCTCTAGAACATCTTGCTAATAGATTATCGGACGTTGGCTCAAAACTATACATATCTGACGTTCGGTCTAACTCATCTGCGGACGACGTTGAGGCAGTCGAGGTTGTAGCGACTGTGCTCGTAGTCAACGGTAAGGTAGTCGTTGAACTTGCAGACGCTGTGATGAGTGGACACATAAGGCAGCACATAAGGCTTATGGGTTTTAAGATAGGAACAACAAAAATTGCTGGAGATTTGGATATTCGAAGAGAGAAGCGGTATCCGTTTACTTTCTTCGCCGTCTTGTTTCTAGTTTTGTACACTGCATGCGAAAATTTTGAGAATTTTCTATGCATGAACATGCTCGTAAAATAAGTTTCTCAAAATTTTGCGAAAAGCAAGTCTTAAATAGTATCCAGTCATTACGCTAATAGTTCATGCAGCACTAGAGCACAATGCTTTTAGGTTAACCACGAACCTGAGACACTTAATGCTGGATCCGTGATTGTCATGGTATTGGACGCATTGTTATTGTGTTGTAATCGCATCGGAATTATAACAGCCACGCCCACCAAAATACTCAGTAAACAAACGCCGACAATGGCCAATGTGATCTGACGTGTTGAAGATATACAGTTCCTTTTGAACCATCAATAAATCGCATGATATAGCTGATAGGTATTTTAAAAAAGCAAAGAAACTTACATCGATTCCGATGTCCTGGAAGGTATATGATCAAGCCGTCTCATGTTTAATTTAATCTGTCTTGGAGAAGTAACCTGCAAGGCCTACAGTCGATGTCTGCTGAACATATGTTAACTACGTTTGATACATACTCCTCTTCTAGTTTCAATGATCACCATGTTCGTCGTCTCTGACGGAATGTGAGACGCTATCGCCTCTTTGATCGATCTGTGAGAAGTGAAGTGGTGCATTATTACATTCCAATGACTGCCATATAACAGAAAAAGTAACCCATGAGTGCTGCGACAAACATTGTGACGTAGTCACTTAAAAGAAGAAAAACATCATTAGACTGCCAAAAGATGGATAATTTGTTGTTTGCCAAAGAAACGAGGCTCATAAAGTGTATTCTTTTTTCGATGCAAGTGATGTAACAATACTCTTTAAAAGAGAAGCTGTTGTTTTGCATGTTTTAACGAGCCAGCAAACGTTTATTTTAACTCAATGGTTTCTCCTTCTTCTCGCAGTCATAGTTGAGATGCTCAAAGATAAAAAAACAAAGCATAGAGTTGCTAAAACATCTAAACCTAGGCATTATGCATCTTGTAACACTCGGTTTTTTCTTCGAGAACGTGATGCACTTAAGTCGGTACGCAGCAATTTTGAAGATGTAGTCCGTCGTTTAAGTCCTTCCGGCCTGTTTCTATGCGATGTTGAACTATCTTCTTCACTCTATTTGTGAAAAGTTAACAGTGAGCTGTGATAATGCAAGTGGAAGACATTTTCATAGCGGATGAAGCTTTGTGTCCCTTATGAATCTCACCTGAAAATAAAGGTAAGAGAAGCTGATGTCGTATGGTTCTAACGTGAGTATTACCAATAACGTAACGTTTGCCGTATGTGAAGAAAACATCAGAAACAACAGAAAACAGCACGCTTGAACTTTCAAAGAATCCGTATCCGTAAATACTAATAATCAATTCAATAATCATAATATAATTCTCAAAATCAAAGACATCTAAAGTTTAACCAAAGTTCGAACACATCTCTTAGCTCCGAAACCTCAAAATATACTTCTCTGTACGCACTTTGATCTGCTGATTACAAAAAGCTCATTCTGAAGGTTCGAGGAGCACGTGTAATGAAACAGAAATTCTGACGACTTTAAGCAACAGACTCACTTTAATGAAAAAAGTGTGTATTTTTCGATTTTTTTAAAAAACGTTTTTTTCATCTTTTTCACTTGATTTCATTTCAAACTGTTCAAAACACGTTTTTAAGGTAAAATAAAGAGATTTGCGTGGTTGCCAAGTACTTCTTTCTATAGGTATACTACTATTTACGAAGTGAAAAATCACTAGGACAAAGGTTAAACACTAACGAACTCAATCTTCTATTTTCAGCAAATAACTTTATTTAATCAAAAAAATGCTCTGTTTTACAAGTCAAACTAAAAACATGAGAGAATTCTTTTTACATTGCCGTACATATTTGTTAGGCAGGGTCAGTCGATTTCCATATTCACTAATGTCTGCCGATAGCGTTGTGTATATTTCGAGGGAGTAAATTGATGGTATCTTGCGTAGCCGAGAAACCATAGTACACCCGCTACTTATGCACAACAACCACAGCTCCTTTCGCATTGGTAATACATTGGCAGTATCAGGACTTGATTGGTAGTTTTTCAAAAAAACTTTCAACCAATGTCTCATCGTCATCGGACGTATCGTCGCTTTCTGAAGCATTGCCTGCATTGTCATTAGTTTATATTCAATCCAGCAATAATACCGAGTCGAAGTTGAATGACGGAAAGAAATTTTGCATCTAAGAATTGTTTCACTGTGGTTTGTGATTTCTACTTCAATCGTATCCAAAACGTAGCCATCCAGCAACGTTATAGACATCATTTTCACCAGGTGACGTTTCTTGTGGCCGCTGTAAGTGGTTTTTTGAAGTACATGGTCGCTACTTTTATTCATAAAAAATAAGTGGCATCCCATGTCAATTTCACACCATCACTAAAGAATATTTTCGAGTAAATAGTATCACGAGAAAAAGCTTGCTGACGAGTTAAGTGATTCAATCCTAAAAACCTTGGAATAAAATATTTTAATAAACAATTCATAATCGCATCACATGATTCAAAAACTCGTTTTCGTCGATCTTCGAAATTGGTGTTGTAGTTAAATAGCGTTCCTATTTGATTATAGGTTAGATTAGTTTTCAACTTGACCCAAAACATTAATAATGCATCGGCAACTGATCTATGTTTACTTGATCTCATAGATTTCGAATCTAAAATAACTGTTAACATGACTTCTAACTCTGATTTTGTCCAGCCAGTCCAGCTTTTAAAGCCTTCTTTTGCCATTAATTCATTTTCGAAAGAAATAAGAGATTGATTTCGCTTTCTTTTAATTTCATTTTTCAAAGCTAAAATTAATCGTCCAGTAGATAAAGTTGCAGGTTCTAATTGACTCGTGTCGATTGTTGTATCGGGATCTAAATATGATTCTTTTAAATGATTTATGCAAAGCTTTTGTTTGGAATGAACGTAGACGTCGTGATCAAGAAATAGATCCAAACGAGCTGCAGCTGGAGTAATGAGAATCTTATTACTGTCACCCTATTCGTATAAAGTAGTACCCAAAGGGATAATATATTTGCGTCATTGGCGGTCGCATATTTTTGTCAAATTGACATACTCATTGTAATGGTACTGCAGTAAATCTGTTTTATCTATGTGTTTATAAATGAAGGCCAGTCGGTTGTGAAAATAAGCTGAAGTATGAAAATCATCTTTCAAAACTGTTTCAAGAAGAATCGGTGAATAAATTTTCCGAGCCTTATCAAACTTACCCATTTTGCTGAATAATGCAACCAGGATGGATATGTAGAAAGGATGCAGTGCACTTCGA